AGCACTTTGTGAGGTCTGGTTCGCTTGTGCAAGTAAATTTATAAGTTTATAAACGCATTCACGGCACAGGAGTGAATTCTCGTGTGGGGCAATGATTTTAATAAAATTAAGATAGCTGTTTATTACAGAAGTTATAATCTGAACAAAATACAAACATTGATACGCGACAAAAGAGAAGTGATATCTTCGGAAATCTTCACCATTAATCTATAAACAGATCTAAAGAGTAACTTAGACAATTGACCCAGGTCTCCCCAAGATTACTCTAATAGTGGCATATTTGAAATATTTGGTCTAATACTTGTTGAAATACATTTGATTTATTACTACATACTTCAAGTAAATATTTCGATTCGTGGATTTGTGGTAATGTTGAGTTTAGATAGTCTATTTGAAGTTATTCTTGATTAGTTAATAGTTTCAATCAATATTAACGTTAAAAACATAAACGTGTACTTTTACACCAAAACATATAATTACCTAATTGCTCAGATCTTGTCTGGAGCAAGATGTGAAGAAATCTGATGTGAATAGTGATTATAATAAAGGATATTCATGATTTTTTGCTTTAGAATTATCGTATTTAGTAACAAGAATACTTGTTACATGAGTAAGAAATCTACAAAATGTTTCTTAAAACAAAGTATGAAAGGCCTGCAACACTCCAGGGACGCCACTGGCGCTGCAGGTGCCCATAGGCGGCTCCGATCACTTCCCATTAGGTGATCGGTCTGCTCTTTGGCCTTTTATTCCACAAAAAAACAACATTTGTTAGTTATTTATCATAACGGATACAATCGGTATCTTGGGGCGTTGCCGGAACAAAATTATAATTGGGTGTGAACTACATATTAAGCAACCTTCATATAACATAGAGAATTACCTGTAAACATGTGATACCTACCTTTCAATTTTACTTTGAACTAGAAACATTTTTTACTCTTAAGAAAATTTGCTTTTTGGGAAGTACGAATTGACTTCATCTGTAGACGCATATTAGTTGTCATGGAAATTTGTTATTCATCGTATTTTAAGTCATTCACATCATTTGCATCTATTGTATTTATAGTAAAAAAATAGTAATATTAATAGGTAGTAACTATATGTAGTTTATTTGATGAAACGGGAAACAAAAAATAAAAACAAAAATACCATATTTATCGTACAGTGTCAGAATTACGTCAAATATTTATGTACATATATGTAACTATATTATGTTAATTACGTATTTCTTTAGTTCAGACAATTCACTATTTAAGTATTCTTTAAACAATATACACACAAAGATGAAAAGCTTTGTTTTGTTTCTTTACTTGGATACAGGATCTATACACAATAGATTTAGTAAGCTATTTACCACGAATAGCATTGTGAATATAGCACGTGCTATCCGCTATACAGACTGAGTGTTCTTTTTGTTATTGTTTAAAATTATTGTCACAATATTATACAAGACTATGCTGTGCGTAACGTAACTATGCGCATTCAAATCTTTGAACAGAATCACTTAGGTGCATAAAGTAGGTAAACACAAACTTTTCGCCATATAGAAATATCTTAATTCTCTTTAAATCTTAATCTAAGTGTGGGAGAGCCATGCTTCGGCACGAATGGGTCGGCTCGATCGGAGTGATGATACCACGGCCTCACAGAAGACCGGCGTGAAACAACCACAGCGTTGTGTTTCGCCGTGTGAGTGAGGTTACCGGAGGCCCATTCCTTCCCCGCCCCCAATCCCTCCTCAATCCCTAAATCTCCAAATCCCTCATCCCTAAGAGGTCGGCAACGCACTCATAACTCCTGCGTTGCGGGTGTTCATGGGCGCCGATTGCTTACCATCAGGTAATCCGTCTGCTCGTTTGCCGACCAATTACATAAAAAAAATAAGAAATTGTGAACTCAAATTACACCTTTATAGGTAAGTAAGTCAACTACGATCGGAATTTTTACAAGAAAAAACTAGTTTGGTACTTGTCGCACTCTTTACCGAGAAAACGAGACCCGGAGCTCGGAACTATAAAGAGAAAAAAATATCTTTATACCTAGTAATAAAAATAAAATGGAGGCGGAAACTACAACTCGGAATAATCATTTGAACTTTTCTTAATACTGACGCCAAAGTCTAACCTACACTCTTACATAATGTATAAAAGTCCTATCTAAACTAAAAAGTCTTTAAAGATTCAGTTATTGTAATTTAATGACTATTAATGAGCTCTAGCATTCCACTAGTAGGCTGAGATTTATCATGAATGAACAGAATTGGTTACCATTCCCGCGACACGAAACAATGCGATACAAAATCGAACTCACGTTTGTACATTAAGTTGCATTTATAATGCAGACAATCGATATGGCAGCGCTTATTCAAGAGCAATAAATAAATAATTGAAAATAATTTTTTATTGTACCTCAAAAATGTGGTGGTTTACACAAGTTGTGTTCTGTATTCAAAATTTGATATATGCCTAATGTCGCCACTATGCGCTACGTATGAAATTTTGAATAAGAGAGAGTACATGCAATATCCGAGTTTATGGCAAACTCAACTTTTCTAGAGGTATAAACTTTTTTATGTCCCATAGTGTGTGTACTGGATTCTTTGGGGATGATAATCGCAATTCTGCAATAAATATACATTTGTAAGAAACAGATTAATGTATTTATTTTCATTTTGTATATATTACTTTTTTAAGGCCTTAATTCTAGGAAGGTTACAATAGGACACACGGATAGAATTGAATTTGTACTAGAAGCGTCACTCTCACATAGGTGATATAATTTACGAAAATGTAACCATTGTAATTTTTTTAAACACATTCTTAAACGATTTTTTCGAATGAAATATTAATTTAGATGTGAATTTAACTTTATTGGGCAGGATACCGTGGATTTTTCACAAATTTGCTCCCTGTTGGAAATTCCCACACTTATAATCATATTAGATTATAAATAACAGACAGACGGCCTTGACTAATTGTAGTGAATTTCGTCTCGCATTTGTTACGACATGTCGGCCCAGAATGGACGCAGCCTATGTCACGCGTAGCGTCGCCGCCTCAGATCATTATCTCGTGGGCCCAAGGTCGCAACCAGTCGAAAGGTTCAACCAACCCAAGATATGATTCACCCCATTCCCTCATTTCAAAGAACATATTCATATTTTAAATCACATTTACTTTTCGCTGCTAATGTTGCCAATGATGTTAATCTGCATTGTAATTAAAAGTCAAATTGCAATCGCAACAATTTTAGCATATCAGGTGTTAATCACATCAATTATTTACCTAGCGGTCCTATAAATACTATTCATAAATAAATTCAACTTATTAAATACTTGTTTGTTTTATCATGCGGTTTTTAAATGTGAAGTTGGTCAACACCATTTGCTTTGGATTAACAAGTAGTAGTACTTAAAAAAAGAAAAGCCCTTTACGTCAATATAATTAGATTTTCCTAAGGTTATTTAGACTCTACTGATGCCAAAGGAAAACATCGTAAGGAAACCAGGACTTGTGGTTTCTAATTATAATTTTGAAATTTGCATTGGGCAAGCTTTAGTGATGAATGAATGTAAACCTTCTCCGTGTGAGAAGAGGTCTTTGCCTGCAGTGGGTACTCCTGGGTTGATAATGTGATATGTCCGTCCACAAGATGGATGGAGGACCTAATTAAAGTTGCAGCGACCCGCTGGATACAGCTTGCTTTCTAGGAGTCATGGGGGGGAGGCCTATGTTCAGCAATGGACGTGTTTTGGGTGATATAATGATCTCGATGACGATGTGATAATTCTAATTGCAGTGTATAACCATTTTTAAGGATAGACATTTAGCCGGGTTGCGGGGTATCAGCCCGGATTGCGGGGCAAAAGACAGGGTTGCGGGGCAAGGAGGTTTTCAGTCAGTAAGAGTCTGACACTCCTTCTCGCCTCAACCCAAGAGAAGCCATTTAATAGTTTCCCCTTACAAAAAACCTTATATTAGAATTATTTTTTCATTGATGATAGAGAGTAAAGTTTGTACCAGTATAAATAAACAAAGCCATGGTATATTAGTACTGTTTACTCAAGTAATGTAGATGATTGGCTTCATCCGTCTTCGCACATTATGTAGGTGATTGATCACCTGTAGTCGGTAGTCGATGTCGAAACATAACCTTTATTGAACCTACATGTGCACATTTTCGTAGACAATTGTAGCAATTTATATCATTACGATTTACACATAATGGGATTTTGTTCGTAGACCCACAAATTGGTAGTCGTTATAGTGATTGCATTTAAATTGATGTCATTTATTACAGAAATTACCCTTATGAAGGGATGTGTGAAACTAAACAAATAGAAGTAATATTCTACTAGCATTTTCCTCGTTCAAATTGCATAGATATGAATTAGCATACAAGCTAATGATCGACCTGTGTGTTCAAAATTGCTATGCATTTTAAAGACAAACATGCAACGTGTAAGTAAAGAAGTGCGTTTTTCTAGGTCGTCGCGCAGTTGTTGGAGCTGTTAAGAATTTTGCGCAACTCTCCATACAATGTTCTGTAATTATCGCACCAAATCACTGGCGAGGAATGCGCGAGCACCTTCGTCAGTCAGCACGCAACGCAACAGCGCGTGTCCACATAAATAACAACAGTAATTATTTCCATCCAATGTCTTACTATTCAAGGGCATAATCAAAATTAATTGTGCTCAATGCATTTATTTATTACCTAAGGGCAGTTATCGCGTAATCTGTAGTAGGAACTAAACTTGAGTACGTATTATTGCTTTTATTGTAATTTAATGATAATGCAATAAAAAGGTCATTGGTACCTACATACTTATTATGTACTTTAAAGCTTTTAATGTTATAGTCTTATATGATATTGCTTTAATAATGCAGCTACATTTTTGTTTATTGAATTCATGTTGGGTATTTATCAGTCCTCTAAAATGCTATTTCTGTCATAAAAAAATCTGGGTATTTGATAGTAAAACGAGAAAGTAAAATTCAGCAGCTGAGTATTTTATTTACATTCGAGTATAAATTCATTTCATCATATTTACACATAAATATCACAATCAGTCATCCGTCATCATATCACACGAGTATGCTAGAGTAGTTGCTTAGTAATGGAGGCCATGATGTCCGTGGGCGAGGGGAGCGACGGCGTAGTGCGCGATGGGGGCGGCGTGGACTACGGGGGCGGCGTGTACCACGGGGGCAGCGTGGACAACGGGGGCTGGGTGGTGGCCGGGGGTCTTGTGGACGACAGCGTTGAAACTGGAATAACATTGCATTCATTAGAGATTTGATATTTTTTAAAGTTCCGGTTGAAACAAGAATGTTGCATTACCCGTGGTGGTCGTCAGCGGTGTATTCTACTTTGCGCACGGAACCGTCGGGCTCAACCAGGGAGTAGCTGCCGTGCACGGCACCACCGTCGCGGCTCTCGTGCTGGGACTTGTGGTCACCGGTGTGGGGGTCAGCCACGGAGTAAGCGTAGTCGTATTTGGGGTGAGACTGTGAAGAAATATTTATTGTTACGAAACACCATTATCGTATATCAAACGACTTAAGGATATCCGTTGTTAGGTTTAGCAATAGCCACCTAATTTGAAGCTAAGGCCTTGTTTTTTACGTATCAAGTACTTAGTTTTAATTAATAACTGGAAGCGGAACTCACGTATTCGCCATGAGCAACGGCGATGGGGGCTGCGTGGACTACGGGGGCGGCGTGGACGATGGGAGCTGCGTGGACAACGGGAGCGGCGTGGACAATGGGGGCAGCGTAGTGGGCGGGGGCGTAGTGGGCGGCGTAGTGTGCGGGAGCATCGTGACGGACGATGCTCTGGGAGGAGACTGCACTGTGGTGCACAGGCAGGAGACCAGCGCTGGCCGCGGCCAACACGGCGCTGAGGGCGAACACCTGAACACAAACAAATGCTATAAGTACTGTTTTCTTATTTGAATTTAAAACTTATTTCGAAATATTCCCGTGATCTTACTTTGGTGAACATTTTGCACTAGTTAATCAGAGCAGGTGACTGATACCATTATCGGGCCGGAGTGTGACTTTTATATGAAAAGCAAAACGGAGCCGCAGTCCTGGCAGTGGTGGGGAGTGCGGTCACTTCAGTTCCGTAACTTTGACACCGCGAGGTCGTTGGTTACTCGCACACATAGGTCCGATTATAATTCACAGACAATCGCCTTCCCGCGCGGCCTGTGGGTGCCCTGCATCGACATGCCCAAGCCGACATTATCGCCAATATCGACGTTGCGTGAGTAATTGCGATAATCAATCTAGTTTTTATTGTATTTCGGACCAAAGGAACAAGGGCAACATTTGAGTGATTAGAAGATATTAGTTTGCTCATGTTGTATGAAGGTTCTCTTTAGCAAATCAATAGACATTTTGAAACCATGTTATTATGATAAAATGTTTGTTAATTTGAGTTTGCTTGTGTATTGAACTGCCTTTGAAGAATGCGTTGTAATATGTTGCAGCTAATCACCAATCAACTGATTTATTAGTTGTTGAGGTATAAAGTCTTTTAAAGCTTTTTACTCCTACAATGCATAGTTCCGAAATAACCTACACAATACCATTTCTACGCACTTTATGGGAGTACACCGTTTCAGATTCTTTACTATATTGTTGTGCATTACAAAAGTTCCTGCGATTTTTAATCGAATATGACAATTTCAATTAGGTTGCCTCAAATTACATGCTGGGTGTTATAATTACATAGAGTATGTGATTGCGACAAACCAATATCAAATGCACTGGGTTCGACCACACGATCAAATAATAGACTTGGTGTAAGTACGTACGTAGTTGGCTAGTATTCTATTTCCTAACCGATGTTCGTAATGCGATCACGACACTTGATATCATAAATTAAGTGTTGTAGAAACTAATGAACTTTTATTACTACATAAAAATTCACTTTGAGTGATCGAGTTCTAGTAAATGCGACTTGAAATATTTAAGTAGTTGGGTACATTATTACAGGGATTTTAATTAGAAAGCCTTGGAAAAAATGTTAGCGGGCTAACTGGAAATAGTAAGAACGAAATTGGCAGCAGTTATTATAAATCTTGGTGCTAGTGAGGTTCTTCAAAACAAATATTAGTATGAAATAGTTTTTGATACATCTCACTTTGTGTCTAATTGTATATATCAGGGAATAAAAGGAGAAACGTAATTTTGCATTATGGTATTAAAGAAAAAGAGTCAGTAAACTTATGGCAATATATGCCTTAACTTATGCCTTCTTTGTGTGAAATGCAAATAAAAAACAGGTACTACAATCAAACGACTTCAAAAACATGGAGGTTCTATGACTTGATGTACTTTTGCGTGATGTATGTGATAAAATTACACTTTGTTTACAGTGTAGCCTTAATGAACACGCTTGGGCTATTTAGGTAGAGCAATTAACAACCGTTTCATATCAAGTAGACCGTTTTAGATAACAAGCGGTGTTTATTTTTTATCGAGGATTATCTTCGAACGATTTAACAAGTTTTAATTATGTTTGCAGTCAGTATATGTAAATAAGTCGGCAAACGAGTAGACGGATTACCTGATGGTAAGCAATCGGCGCCGCCCATGGAGACCCGCAAAATCAAAGGAGTTGCTAGTCTTTTGGGGATAAGGGTTGCGGATATTTAAGGATTGGGAAGCGATAGGAGACTCACACGGCGAAACACAACGCTATTGTTGTTTCACGCCTGTTTTCTGTGAGCCTAAGGTATCACTCCAGTCGAGCCGACCCAATGGTGCCGAAGCTTGGCTCACACACATAAAATAAATAATACAGAATAATAATTTATTGTAATGCAAACTAAATATTTATGCAAAACTTGAGCTCTATCAGTTAAAGATATGTACCCACTTCACAAAAATACAGGGGTAAATACATGTTTATAAAAAATCACTCTAGTAGAACTGTGGACCAGGTTCAATCTTACTCATTCCTTATTTATTAATAGCTTACAGGATATTATCTATTTGTCATTACTATACTATCAAAACATTCAGACATAAGTATTTATGTTGTTTTAAATAGTGCTAGTATATATTTTCCCCATTTTATTCGTTCAATCATTACCACTTCTGATTCAAAAACCATATTTAGATTTATGAAAAATCTAAGTTTTGTTACTAACTTTTTGTCCCTTCTTTAATCACACATTTCGACATGACACATGACATTTAGAGAAGTAACAATAATCATAACAAATAAAAATGTACTTTTTAAATCACATGTCGTATTTTTTGAAACCTGGCGTCTGAAATTGTTTACCCTCCTCATGATAAAAACCTCACTTTTTGTTACATGGAACTTGAAAAAATTGTAATATAAATCCTTTGAGTTCGGGGATTAAAAGGCATGAATCCCAACAATTTGTTATCATCCCAATCACAATTTTCCTAGGTACCTCGAGGGTTTACTTCTAAAAACCAAATGATTGATAGAACTACATGAGATCTCTTGATAAACTAGCCAATCTAGCTTATAATTAATACAGCATACTTGTTACCTACTATCCTACCATCAATCGCAGCATTACAAAACTTTCAGCATAGAATTCAGATTAATTTCAATCGAATATTCAAAATATTTGAAAGGTGCTCACGATTGTCCATTCTGATTTAATTGTTCGGAGCACATTCAGCTAAAGGTTCCTATTATCGGTCGATAGGTCCGGCAATCTGGGTGTTTCTAGTCGTGAGTCGAAACAACGATCGTCACGGAAGCCAATACCTGAGATAGAAGTATCTAACTAAGATAAATATTGTTCGCAAGGTCGACAGTAATAATAGATTCGGTTGAAAGGTAACAAAAACCTATAGTTCAGAGGTTATTTACCCTCTAATTGTCTGACCGTGACTCGGAACTGAGCTATTAATATTAATCAGAAGTTATTGTGGACATTTCTTTGTCTGCGGCTAACAATAGTAATGTGATATGTTCTTGGAACATTAGTAAGCTTTTGTGTCTGTAATATAATTTAATTTCATATAACTCGATTATTAGTAGGTTCACAAATATTTTGACACGTATACCTTTCGTCTGTAATGAGGGTCTGGAGGTCAAGCATGATGATGTGGTTTAAAAACCTGGCAAGTAACAGTGTGAGTTTAGTGAGTTATGCGGTGAATTTTTGGAAATAGCTTAGCCCCTGGCCTGGCTTAGCGTGGTGCATATAAAAGGTCTTTTGAGGGGTAATATCAGCAAAACGGAATGTCAGTTTTTATTAACTAAAAAGCATCTAGTTCCTTCTCCTGCCCGATGCCTCGGCCACAGTACATTAATGCCCTTGAATTTTAAAATAATTTTATTGTGGAAAAACATTCAATGACTTTTCTGCCCAGGAAGAGGCGAGATCAAAACTTAAAGAACGAAGTTACAGAACAGGTTGACATTCGTATCAGCGGTTGCTAAGTTATAATTAGTTTAGTCTTTGAGGCGCCGTAATTCAAACATTAAAGACAAAAGAATATTGTGTTCATATATTTCTAAGTTTATTAATTATGAAAAATGTATATCTATAAACTACTATTATCTATAAAATATTTATACGATAGTTTCATTTCGATAAGGAATTCCTGATCGTTAATCCTGCTACGGAAGTTTTTGTATGAGCATAACGTATATTCCGGTTTAATTCTTAATCTGATTTCATTTACATATTTTGCATCCAACATATCGATTTCAATTGTTCCGGATTGTGGCCGCGGATTGTAATGTAGAGTACACAATCAGTATCTAAATATGTATCTATATATGTATGTATAATGTCTTGGCGCAAATGTGAATGTAACAGGGCTTTTCTTAGAAAAAAAGTGTGGTGTGTAATTGTTAACAATCGCAAAATTTTCGAGGCAGACAGTATACGGTAAATTTTATTTAATAATATTTTAAACATTCGAAACCCGTTTGGATGGTCAAAGGAAGTAAGTTAACATCTTACATCCGTAGTTTAATGGTAAAGGTAATAGCTAGCTGTCGGAGGTACTCGACCTGAATGTCTAAATATTATCATTTGCCTACAAACCGGTTGGACGCCAACGAATTTCTTCATCAAAGAAAAGTCCAATAGCAAATTACCTTTTTAGCCTTTGAAGAATAATGATTTTGAGGAGCTTAATTATGCCACCAGCCTATAATTTAACCGAGGTGTTAATCTAACTTTAATTCGCCAGTAACTTTGACGAAACCGTTTGAATTAAATTATTAAATTAGTATGTGTAATGTATATTAACTGTGCCGTTGCGTTAAATGATGTTATTGCAAAACTAAACTTCGTAGTTGAAGTGAAATGAGTGCAATATCAGTAGCAGGGTGAACAGTGAATGTTTTAGGAGCAGTATGCCGAACACTTTAAGATTAAACTTGTTGCTTATGACATCGTAAACTTGTAAATCTAGCCAGTTATCTGCTGACAGGGGCGTTAACAGCATAGTTTGCGACGTAGAAATTATATGTGTTATTTGTCTGTGGTATAGAATTACCGGCGTATTGAGAAATTAGAACTGTGTAGGCCTAAACGAGAAACAAGCTTTCAAATACGTACCCTTCAGTACTACATGTTACTTATAACTTCGCTTTTATGGATAAGTCCATTGTTTTAAGGAGTAAATTGAGGTAACGGTGGAAACAATTTGGTCGAAATTACCTTGAGAAATGTATGTCTCAAGGTACTACAATCACGACGCAGAACAAACTGTGGGCCCTAATGATATGAATAGTGTATGAGAGTGACAATTTGCACAGTTATGCCGGATGATAATACTCAACTTATCCTTGAGAGTTATCGTTAATTTTAGTAGCAGTAAAGATGTGGTACTTTGGAATGAGGCCTAATTATCCTTTTTATTACATCTTTTTTTCCGATTCAAACTTTATAGTTAATTTTGTTTCAAGCCTAAGTTTGTTTCAAGCCTACTTTAAAATCAGTCGCTAAACTTTGATAGTTGTAATTGCAAAGTAAATGTCAAGGCTTCAAACACCATAAGTACATACATATAGTACCTATGTAAGTAAGTACTTCGAATGACCTGTTGTTGTAGCCTTTGAAAGTCTTTATGACTTTGAAACAGTATCGAACCTTAACCAACACAAATTGTATTGATTATTTCCTAACAATAATCTCTTCTATCTCTCAGCCTACACGTTTGCAAATTAATTACAAACGCGTTTCTGATTGATATTCGGCAACTGGAATAGCTTTCAACGGACAGAATTTGCTAGTTCCACTAGAAACTATCTTTCGTAACATTCATAGCAGGTTTACATACTTTGTACCACTAAAAGGCTATATTTATATAATTTTCCTTCAGTCTACTTCGTTAATTACCTGGAAAAATGTCTGTGTGTATGCAAATTATAAATCAAAGAAGACCTTGTTTTTTATGTTAATTTTAATGACTATTATCTATAAACAAAAGAACATACACGAAGATCACAGCGAGTATAAATAAGGTACATAGTGGTTAAAGCTTCCTTGTACAGAGATCTAGTAGTGGTGGTGTTGAGATGAGTACACGTGGTGGCTGGGGCCGGAGTTGTGCACGACCGCGTTGAAACTGCAAAGAAAACAGTACATATTATATTTAATATTGCTTGAAGAGGTACTTAGAAGTACATATATATATAAATCTATGTAACAAGGACCTACTGGCAACGTGGATACGATTTCTGTGGTTGTGCTACGAAAAAAGCACAACTTATAACACTTTATTCCAATCTATAAAATGAATGATGAATCCATAATCGAAATCAGACCTCTTAAGAAAATAAACAACAGATAATAATGTGACAATTCAATAGTAGTGCAGTGAAACAGGTTTTAAGACTAGTTTGCTATCACGATACCTGTTCACCGATACCTGTTGTCAGTCAGCACATGGGTCGCGCGAGTTCATTACTCACATGTTGCTGCTCTAGTGACCACACCGGTCTGACGAGCATGTGACTTAATACGATGTAATTTTACGACTCACATGCGTACGTAAACAAACAAAGCTCCATAAGCGAGCTAATATGGCAGGTCAGTACTGTTTTGCGCAATTCCGGGGAAAGTTGCACTCTCATCAAACAAGCAATGGTTCGTCATTACGTATGCACCTTGTGTTTAGATTCTATTTTACGTAATTTTTCCTATTTTAACTTGTTAAGGAATGAACATTTATTTTCATATTATCATATTGGCAAATTGTTGCTTCGACGTACCCGTTGTGGTCATCAGCGGTGTAGGAGACCTTGCGGAAAGAGCCATCAGGCTGCAGCAGAGAGTATTCGCCTTTCACGACATCGCCATCACGGACCTCGTGCTGGGACTTGTGGTCGCCAGTGTGAGGGTCTTCCACAGAGTAGGAGTACTTGTATTTGGGGTGGGCCTGTGAAGATATAATTAAGAATATGAGTAAATAAACCTGTCTACATGGCGTTTAGCTAGAAATTTAATGTAGTCTTTTGAGTGCGTGATATACGTACATAGTAGTCCTCATGTCCGTGGCTGTAGTGGCCTCCATGTACTTCAACGGGGGCAGCGATGACGTGGGCGACGGGTGCAGCGTGAACGACGGGAGCGTGGACGACGGGCGCGGTGTGGACAAGAGGTGTGGCGTGGGCGTACGTGGCGAGGGGAGCTGCCGCGTAATGCGAGTCGTGGTGCACCAGGTTGTGCTGGGAGGACACCGAGTATCCACCAAGCCCGAGGTGACCAGCACCGGCCACGGCTACCAAAGCGCTGACAGCTAAAATCTGCATATACAAAAATCACATTATTTTCCTCACTTCGGTGGTACACTTTTCACTTCACTTTTTTAACACGGTAGGACAACTTACTTTAGCGTACATTTTTCTGATGGGATAGCTGTGCGTGACTAACATACATATGATAAGCTGCCGTGGGTTTTATAAGAATTGGCCCGGGTAGTCCGGTGGGGCGCCGAAAGCGATCAGCGCGCGTCCCCGCAGCCGCAAGGTCAGCGCGCTTTGTCTTCGACATTCTCGCGCTACATTATCAAAATGATTGTTACTTAATGAAAATACTCTGTGAACCACGATACTACACTTTGTTATACTAGGTCAATGCGTACAATGATACGTTATTGTCGTTTTGTCCCTCGAATTTTGTAATCCAGTGTTATTTTTTTTTAATTTCTGTCCGATTTACTGTTCATGATGATTAATTGTATAACGCAATACGAGGTAAACACGAGTACTTGTAAGAAAGTTCGAGTGATAAGATGGTGATGCTTTATATATAAAGTGAATAATTTATATAATTAGGGAAAACAGATTTTTTGGTCGGACAACGGTAAGCACACATGTGAAGGCATGACACTTATAAATTATATCATTACCATTGCGTTATTTGTAACTCGGCCACGAACATACATAATACGGAGTCACAGTAAGTTTCTCTACAAATAGCGTAAACAAATAAAACAGTTCAAAGTTACATACAATTGACATGAGCGCGTGAATAATAGAAAATAAAACATAAATAGTAATTGGGAAAGCTCACCTGATGGTAGCAGAACAAATGTTATTGATTGAATGGAAATAATTAATACTTGGTTAAAATCTAATCAGCTATGGTGAAGAATGATTTCGTTTACTGACCTATGACATAAAGAAAATCTTCACATAATATAATTACCGCCTTAAATAAAACAATAAAGATTAAAAAGTAAAACTAAAGTAACATGAGTTTGTATTGATAAAACTACAAACAATTTGCCTATCAAAACCGCTCAGTAAACTTACGTAAAACCTAATATTTTTGTTGAGGGAACTAAATACTGTTTACATTCCGTACAAAGAACATACTCAGCAGTTATGAACGTATCTATATACATTGTTTACATCTAGATTATGAGATTTTGGTTTCTATTGTTTTGTAAATTTTCCCATCCCTTGAAACTTGCTAGAATGGTTGTGTCGAAGATTATTATTCAAACCGGTGATATGTAAATGCCCATTCAACCGACGTACATCATGCAAGCAAGTATACAGAAAGTGTAATTATAATTTTCTATAAATCTGTAAGCAGTGTAAAATTCTAAATATTTTTCGCTTATTGCTACACTACATATGTTTCGTTTTTACATTTTCTATGTTTTATTCATAATCTCTGGATCGATTTAGGTTTGTAACATAAATTCTGTCATTAAGATGAGTTAAAATTGTGTCAACAAATCGATTGTAATCCGAAGATATTGGTTTGAGCTTACATAGTTATAAATTTTTGACTGTACTCAATCGCTCTGATGCATTCCAACTGTACAGAAAAATATGATCTTCGGACAATTGATTAATAATTTCCATTAAATCTCACATAGTTGTTTATATTATATTCCTATTAATTTTTTACCCTTGTGCCTCATCAAGTGTATTGTACATATATTGTAAGTGTTTCGTATTTTTTGTTGTCATAACACGAATATAATAAATTATTTTCGAAAACGTATATGTTTGTACATATATTCTAATTCAGTTTTCAATTAAATGGGAATGATTAACGTGTCCTTATTAATATGAATTAAAAATGGAGTATTAGTAATAAAATTTCCTGTGATTGTATATGGTATTTTACAACTGTTGAGCTCGTCCCACGATGTAAGTTTTTGTTAAAAGCCATTGTAGGAAGCGGAAGAATTAAAAGTAAGCTGTACTGCTTATTGATGATTTTAAAACAATTAATGTTATTAGCATTAAAACGTTAGCAAAAAAATATTATTTTTATGTCTGACAATTATTTTTTGTAAATTTAAAATAAGCAGTAATTACATTTATGCAAATTGTAGAGAATTTTTTTGTAAACGTGCTAATTTTCATTTTGGAGGGCAAAACATGTATTTAGCAAGTATACTTAGTGTCTTACACAAGCAACATTACTGAGTGGGTAAATAGTGTTTATAGTTTACGGCCGGAATCACGCAAGCGCAACAACCTTGTTATAAAAATAATATTATCTGATAAAATATCGGCCTAGCGCTAAATAGTCTTTGTTACGTAAAAAAAAATATTTTATGAACTTGTCATTTTTTAATTGGATTATAACCATAAGAGGATCGTAATTAAGATAATTTGATAAATATGCATGATAAACCGCTGCGGTCGTTGAGGTTTACCGTTCCAACAAATAAGTAAAGTTTTGATTATACTATTTTGTGGTTACAAAAAGAAATAAATAATACTGCGCAGTTATTTTTTGGTGTAGTAGGTTCTGGTTTGTAATAATAGAAATATGTCGGTATATAAAATGTTTTAATAAATTATTTTACATTCGTATTTGGTTTCAGCAGGTCGATCAAGATTAGTGGTATTTGGAAGGTACGTTGTCCATTAATAGTGGTGGTACTCAGGCGCGGGGTGGATGGACGGAGCCGACGTGTGCACAACGGCGTTGAATCTGAAGATTTAAACGAAATTAAACATTGTTATTTCTTGTATTCCATTCTATGTTTCTTTGGTCTTTTTCTTAGTATTTTAAAGGTAATGAAGCTTAATATTAACAGGGATATGTGTCGACATAAGCAAACATAATAAACGTTAATTCGGTTATCATCAGATATGTTTTAGGACTCCTTCAAAAACTCGAGTCTCGTAAAGGAAGGAGGAATATTACAGACAAATGGAACCGTTAGTTAGTTCGGTAAAGATACATTTGCGTTTATCTATTAAAGTTTGCAAATTTTCTAAATCTACTAATATCAAATTAATAACTTACCCGTTGTGATCATCAGCGGTGTATTCAACCTTGCGGACGGAACCATCAGGCTGCACCAGGGAGTAGTATCCGTGAACGGCGTCACCGTCGCGGCTCTCGTGCTGGGACTTGTGGTCACCGGTGTGGGGGTCAGATACAGAGTACTCAAAGTCATACTTTGGGTGAGCCTAGAACATAATTTTAGAGAGTTATAGTTAAAGCAAATTTCTAATTACCGAAGAGACTTTACGAGTTCACAGGATGATGTACCTAGCTTATTTTTTTCATCTTTATGATTCATTAGTTTCTTTATCTTTATTTTTTTACAATAATTGTCTACAATACGATACATCCATATAAATCAAAGACTAGGTTTAAATATGTAGGTAAAGTAAAAGAGTAATTGTTGAAGAATTGATGTAGCTTACATGTTCATCGTGGCCGCCATCGTAATGGCCAGCATAAGCTAGTCCATCGGCCGCGGCGTATGGCAGAGGTGCGGCGTACGGGGCAGCGTAGACACCGTCATAAGGGGCAGCGTAGGCGCCTTCGTATGGGGTAGCGTAGCCGGCTACGTAGGGGGCGGCGTATGGCACGGCGTAGGGGGCGGCGTAGTGACCACCGTCATGGCGCACGATGCTTTGGGAAGAGACAGCGTGCCCGTGGCCACGGGCTGCTGCGAGCATCGCTCCAAAAGCTACCAACTGCAGACATAAGAAGATAAATTGAAGTATATCTTATTTATCAATAGTTTAAAACCAAAGTCACAACACATTTACAACATAAACAGTGTTGTCATTGGAGCCTCCTTTCAGGCAAAGTAATGCCTGTAATGGGAGATTCTTGTAGAGTCACTTAAATTCGATCACTATTCTCAATGTAAACCACTTAGAACCTTATTACAATCAGTCACTTTATTTTAATTAAATTATTTAAAAGTTGCGTGTCCAGATTATTGTTTTGGTCGATTACTATACTAAATCGAATGGTTTAATTCACTTACTTTGCTGAACATTTTGTTGTTGTTTAGATCAAAGTCAATCAATGATTGATGACAAATTCCGTTGACCGTGGCTTTTTATATGATTTAAAACAGAATAAGAACAAGTGGGGCTGACCACACGGCATGCGGACCTCGCGACGATGACAATGGCTAAAGGTCGTTAAAAAAAACGATTATAGAATTGCAATATGTGTCATGGTATCGATCCCGGCGCGGCCATGTTATACAGCTAATGGTGCATGTTTTGCTTTCTGAAAAAAAATCTAGTACGCATGAACGAAATATTGAAGTGCGTGGATTGATGAATGAAAGACTATCAGCATGTGGTTCAAGGATTTGTAGCTTTTGTGCGCTGAGTAGTCGCTGCAGCCATGTTTAATAGACTTCTTATTATTTTCTGTCATTCGTTGAGATGACTATTTGGCAGAGGGATTTTTTGAATTTGATTCTTTTTAATCTTCAGCTTCACGTATAATCTAGTGCCAATGATTTTATCTTAAAAGGAAGTACGAACTGTAGTAATGTAAAATTAATACTTAATATTGTGTTGAAATACAATAAAATAATTAAACACTAAGAAGTCGGAAAAGCCTACAAAGTCGGCGACCGGTCAAATGTCCAATTTTGGATGGTGGACACATCAGGCAAGGGTTCAGTATCAGATTGTGTGAGTGCCAAGCTTTGGCATGAATGAATCGGCTCGACCGGAGTAATACCACGGCCTCACAGATAATCAGCGTGAAAAAACCAAAGCGTTGTGTTTTGCCATACGAGTGAGGTTACCGGCAACCCAATTCTTCCCCTTACCCTATCCTTCCCGAAACTCTAATCCTCAAAAGTCCGGCGACGCACTCACTACTCCTTTCGTATGTAGGGTGTTCATGGGAGGCGCGAATGCTTACATAGCTATTAGCTATAATATGATAACATCTTAATAAGTATTTATAATAGTTTAAAGGAAGATGATCACAATTATAAGAAAAAATAAACTACAATCAAATAAGAATAACTTTTTACTTCAACTTTTTTATTATAATCAGTCAATAAAAGAAAAACGAAGAATGTTTGTCACCTCCTTGCAGTCAGAAGTAAACAAGGCCGTAACAACCGCGAAGTGCTACGTGATGCCAGTTTGAATGGACGAGTAAAAAAAAGAAACGATTATAGTGTTCAGTGCAATGTTAACAAAAAATCTGCCGGTATTTATATTATTATAAGTTCAGCCGTTTCAATTATTGAGGTAGATTTATTTTTGTGTAGGGGTTATGGCTTCTTAATTGAATGGTCATCAGTCTTGTTATTGATAGCAAGATATTGTATTGTGGTATTAAATGCACTTTTGTTGTTACATACATTATGTGCATGCCACAGCCAAATCGTTCAATTAGCCACCCAACCAAATGGTGCGGAGCGAGAGGAACTGAGACGCCGTCTCCTCCCTCTGTGAAGCAGTTATGCTCGCAAAGAGGGAGGCGGCCCGCGTGATGGAGCAATCCTGCTCCTCACGCCCCAGCCGCCGCAACTGCGACACTACGGGCGTCGGGGATCAAGGGACGATCTCCGGCCACCGTAAGCGCGGGTCTGCGGTCAGCGAGTAAGGGCAGCTCGCCGCCCGACTAGAACCAGGCCCGAGCGGACAGCGCGTAGCGTTCCACGCGCGCCTCAAAGAGCCAATAGACCACCACAGACGGGGCCCTATAGGGCTGATGTTCAGCCGGGGTTGCGGGGTAAGCGCAATAAGGCACTACGACCTCGGCCCAGAGCAGGAGAAGGAACAGTTGGTTTTTAGTCAGTAAGAGTCTGACACTCCCTCCCTCCCGCCCGGCCCTGGGCGGGAGAAGTCATTTGACACATGCTTTGGATAAAGCGAGAGGGACTGTCAGACTCTTACTGACTAGAAACCATCCGTTTCCTTTTTTTTTTTTTTTTTTTTTTTTGTGAGGGGAAAACCATCAAATGACTTCTCCCGCCCAGGGCCGGGCAGGAGGGAGTGTCAGACTCTTACTGACTAAAAACCCCCCTGTTCCTTCTCCTGCTCTGTGCCGAGGTCGCGGTACCTCATTGCGCTTACCCCGCAACCCCGGCTGAACATCAGCCCTTTAGGGCCCCGTCTGTGGTGGTCGAATGGCTCTTTGAGGCGCGCGCGGAACGCTACGCGCCGTACGCTCGGGCCTGGTTCTGGTCGGGCGGCGAGCTGCCCTTACTCGCCGACCGCAGGCCCGTGCTTACGGTGGCCGGAGATCGTCCCTTGATCCCCGACGCCCGTAGTGTCACCAGTTGCGGCTGCTGGGGCGTGAGGAGGAGGATTGCTCCCTCACGCGGGCCGCCTCTCTCTTTGCGAGCATGACTGCTTCATAAAAGGAGGAGACGGCGTCCCAGTTCCTCTCACTCCGCACCATGGCCTCGACTAAGGCCGGGCGCGAGATGTCGCCGCCGCCGATCACTTCCCTGAGGACACGGCGGTGCTCAGCCCAGGCAGGGCATACCGCTACCGTATGCTCCACCGTATCATCCAGGTGGTCCTCACAATGACGACACTCGGGCGTTTCCTCCCGCTGAATCCGAAACAGGAACCTACCGAAGCTGCCGTGCCCGGTAAGCACCTGCGTCAGACGGAAGGTGAGGACGCCGTGGCGTCTCTCAAGCCACTCCTCAAAGAGGGGTCTTACCGCTGCTATGGTAGCGTGCCCGGCTCTCGGTTGCGACAGTCGTTGTTTCCACACTGCCATGAGATCTCGCCGGAGCTCATTCCGCCACGCACTAATTTGGCGCGGCAGAGGATCCTCGCCCCGGCGACGCGCGTCTGCGCGCAAACTGTAGACGCGCGCGAGCGCCTTCGCTTCTAGATCCCACGGCGGTGATCCGGCAAGGAGGCAAGGAAATCGTGCGATACCCGCGGATTACTCGGATAGCCATGACCCTCTGGGACGCGACCAGCGTACGAGCCGGCCGCCGCTTCAAGTCCGGCGCCCACACAGGGGCACCGTAGAGGGCCATGGATCGCACAATCCCCATATACAACCTCTGGCAGGAGGCGTTTGGCCCCCCGAGGTTGGGAAGGAGCCGCTTGAGCGCGGCCCCAGACCGTTCTAACTTAGGGGCCAAACGACGAAAATGCTCCGTGAAGTTCCATCGGCTGTCGAGGACGAGACCCAGGTACTTCATCGCCGACTCGACGCCGATGGTAACTCCTCCTGCCGTTATTTGGGACCCACCTGGAGGTGGCGCGCTCCGACGGCCATAGAAACACATGGCCTCGGACTTGTGGAGCGCCACCTCGAGTCCCAACTGCCGGATCCTTGCAACGACTGTCGCAACCGCTTGTGACATCAGGTCGGCCGCCGCCTGATGCGACCTCCCGTTCGCCAGCACCAGCGTGTCGTCAGCATAACAGACAATGCTGACGCCGCTCGGGAGGTCGGTGCGTAGCACCCAATCGTACCCGATGTTCCACAGGAGAGGTCCCAGGACCGATCCCTGTGGGACACCGCGCGACACCTCTCGCCGATTCCACACGCCCCGGTGACCGGGGTAGATGACGCAACCATCCGTTTCCTTTCCTCTTCTTTAGGCCAGGCCATTTTCGCTTGCACTAAGGTATCGCGGCCTCGGCCTGGAGCTGGACAAGGGACAGTGTTGATTTTAGTAGATTCTTTCCGGCTCCGTCTGTGCAACTTAACTTATATCTATCTGTTTGAAAACACACGATCGTGTGTCAAACTTACTTTCTAGCATATCTTAAATTGTTTCACACAATACAGGCTGAGCAATACAATGTTCTATAAGGAAATAAAGGCAGCGTGCCTACGATTCCTGTATTCGAAATCCTTACATAACTTACAGCATTTCATTGTAATAAAACTTAAATGTCATACTATGACATACGAACAAAGCTATGAACAATTTAGATTTATTTATGACAGATACTACAATTATTTAGTACCTTATAGTTTCTGTACTTGAAAGGAAAATATCAGACGTGGGTATATATATATAATAAAGATATTATTGAGAATAAATTGTTAGACAATTTGATTTGGACGTTATCAACCAGCGACTCAGATTACATTAAGATAGTATTTGCATTTGTAAATTTTAATTTGTTATGAAATATGTTCATTTTGTTTACTTATTAATTTCAAGTCATTATAAACATGACACACTATTTTAATCAAGTTCATAACGTGTGACGGTCTCATCTTTCTTCTCGTTAGTTTTAAATTATTTTAAAGGTATGTTTCACAACTTATATGGCACATCCTACATGCAATCAACGTTCTATATTCAAATTCTAGTTATTCAGACAATGTTAAACAAACTCTTAGAATACAATAATCTGCTTCTGTAATATTTTTTTTTAATTCTAAATTTGAATTCAACTTCAAAATCAGTCATGGCCAGTGTTATAACAAAAATACTTTAATTTCTTGCTTCGGCACAGTTTTAATTGTTTTGTACTTAAGTAAATGCATTTTTGTAGCACATAAACGCACAGTCCAAGGCACACTGTTACTATTTTATAACCTTCATAACTGTTGCTATTATAACTGTTTGTATTATTTGGTCGACTTAAGCGCAGTTTAGGCAATGTTATTATATATCATTTTAGGCGGGATTTATGGTGTGACCGTAATATTTATTGCTTTTATACAACGATACGGATTTATTTAGGAGCCAGCGACCCACAGAACAATTTGTCAAGTTAGCTATTTAGGTAATGATACTAATGATAGTCGTTCAATAAGTTATTTGGAGATAATTCGCCTTTACGTAACATTATTTGCATTATATTTATCTTCTATAAATGAATTATTACCTAAGCTTCTTAAAATGGGTCACCATATAGTTTAATTCGGTATTAAGTACCGCCAGTAAGAAAATTTAATATTTTCTTTGATCATTGAGACAGATTTATAAATTAAATAGAGTTTACTGAATTTTAATAATACTGAATATTTATAAGAAAACTAAGCAAGTGTCTCTGAAAACAGTTTGATTTAATCAACTAAATTATTCTGTGACACATACATAAATTATAATTACTTTTTATGGAATAAGTCGGCAAATTAACAGACGGATTACCTTATGGTAAGCAATCAGCGCTGCCCATAGACATCCGCAACACCAAAGGAGTTACGAGTGTGTTACCGGCCTTTTGGGGATAAGGTTTGCGGATATTTGAGGATTGGGAAGGGATAGGCGAGAGGTTAGACGAATTATGGGCTATAAGGTCCTGGTTGCCCCACAGTGTCATCCTTATACTTTAATCCTTTATAGGTTTAGATTGCCAATATGCTTGAGCAAGTGTAGTGAATGATCACTCTGACAAATATGAGACTTCTGCCCAGCTGTGGCAGCATTGATTGTATTACTATCTTATTAATTAATAATAATAATAATAATAAGCCCGCAGGGCACCTTGAGGCGAGGTGACGGGAATTAGCGATCCCGCGGGCTACCATCATCCCGATTGCTCCAGGGAGGAGTCACCGTTCCTTATCTCCGGCTTGCCTTCATTGGCTGGTCGGAGTGAACGATGACGAGGAACAGGTCTCCCACCTCTGGCTTGCCTTCATTGGCCGTCCAGAGTGGAGTCGCGAGAGTAGTGATCCTGCTCGGAGGGTGGAAGCTGTTCGTAAGCGGCGAGTGGGCCAGTGATGCAGGATGCTTAGGCAGATGCAGATGATCTGAGTAGAAAGCTGGTGGCAGTTTCTTCACCCTTCAGCCACTCACATTTCCGTTGTCCCTCTGTTGCTATTACTAGCAACCATTCCCGGGGGCCCGGTCGGTGAGTTGGCGAGTCTCCGCCTGCCATTTTTACGTGTATAAATTACATTGTTTCGGCAGGTGCCATAGTCCTTTCATAGTTCCTATCCTACTAGCCCATAGCAACCCACACCCATAGCCTTGTATTTTGTTCCCATTATCTGCAATAGTCCTACACTAACCGGGGACTGTCCTTGGGTGCATTCCCATAATGCATACAGGGATAGTCGCCGGTTTGTGTCCCATTTCATTTAGATTAAAGTTGTCTAAAGGGCCTCTGCGCAGTTGGCTCCGGCCCCTCGTACGCCTTCCAAATGACCGGGACCCTGTGGTCCCGTGATTGGTAAAGACATACATAATAATAATAAAAATTTTATTTATCCACAGTTACATAAGTTTGCCTTAAAGTTTAGTTATAATTAGGTACAATTGTTTGTTGTAACTTAGTGTTGTTAGCGGACATTGCTTTTAAGAGCGGCGGTCCCCAAACTAGGCGAGGCCTGTATCTTGAGGTCCTAATATAATTTAATTAATTTGTTTTTTGTTTTTTCTTATATTAAATGTATGTTGAATTTTCGTATCAAACTATTGTTTTATTATAATGCTCACTATGCTGAATGTGTTTGATTGTATTGCCTATTATAATCAAATGTTGATTGATGTCACTTGACTATAAAATAGGTTTTATAGGTTGTTCGTTCTTTTACAGAGATACTCGTATGCGTGTGCACTTGACTTATAACTTTGATATCTAACAAGGTAGGCTTAATTTATAACATTTGTGTTAAACTGTTTAATTAAGAAGTACTACTGCATGCACATGCTACTACTGCATTTTGGCGTGCATGAATGATGTTTATTACTTATTACATGTTTCACAGACGCTTCGTGCTACGTGTGTTCAGATTATGTATTTAATTTATAATTGGGTTAATATTTTAGTTACAAATAGTTTAATATTTTATTAGTACCAAAAGTTAATTAAAAGTTAAGGTCGTCGTGTTCGAATTTATAGAATTCGGGTTGGGATTGTAAATGAGATGAAATGAGCAGGTCCCTACGCTGTCAGATGAGTATTGGAATGTGGTGCCAGGCAGGGTAGACTGAGTTCACTACTTTTGTTTAACTTATATGTCCACCAGCTCGTTGCGTGGTTCAGCAGTACACATGCCTGATTCAAAGTTCATGGCACTTATGTCAATAACATCAGTTACGCTGATAACATGGTCATCATCATCACCATCATCAGCCTACAAGTTTAGTGCCTACTGCTGAGCAAAGGCCTCTTCTCACACGGAGAAGGTTAGAGAGAGCATTAATCACCACGCTTGCTCAATGCGGGTTGGCGATTTCAAACTTATAATTAGAAATTATAAGTCCAGGTTTCCTCACGATGCTTTCCTCCGTATGTCAGTAGTGTCTAAATAATCATAGAAAGTACATATAACTCGGAAACTCGGAAAAAGTCACATTAGTACTTGCCAGGTTTCGAACCCTCACACGCCTCATGCACGAGAAGCAGGTTCCTTAACCTCCGGGCCACCACGACTTTTGATAACATGGTGCTGTTAAGTTTCTCAATAAAAGAAGAAAAGGTGAGATACGCGGGGCACAAGGGTTCAAATATAATTTAGAGAAGAGCGAATTGTTTGGTTTTACATAAAGCAAATATTCTGTGTGTTGCCTTGAAACGGGTCGATAGGCCTAATATTGCCATATGACAGCAATTAGTGCTAGATTTGACTGTCCCATCCAAAGACATTGTAGAAAAGTTTAATTAATATTTAAAATATTGTCTTTTTTGTCACCTTTGTAAAGAAAAATGTATGGCAGGCAATTTAAATTACTAAATATACCTAAATTAAAATACTGACTATTGCTGGATTGCAGTTAAACAAGCTATTAGCTACAACAATCAATTATAATAGCTCATTGTGAAGACAAAGTTGTTCAAAAAGTTTCTTTATGTAAACTAAAATGTAAAATTTGTGGCAACTTATAAAGAAGTTTTTTCAATTCACTTTTTATCCAAACATAAATTAACCATTTCTATAAAATCTTTTTTATGTTAAGTGTTGTTGTTGTTGTTTAAGTTACTTTCAACAAAACAGTAGCTTTTCTAATTCCGACATAAAATGACTGTAGCTAAGGTAATTTGAATACAACATAATTTTTTGTGGAATATCACAGTTTATTTTTTTTATCAATCACTTTCATTTAGTTTGTAGTAAGTAATAAATAAACACAGCCCAATTATTGATCATTGATGATGAATTAATAATGATGGTAAGCGTGTCCGTGGACGGGAGCAGGGTGTACTGAGGGGGCGGAGTTGTGCACCACAGCGTTGAAACTGGAAATAAAGAAAATAAAATTATAAGTCAGAAATGACTCGAGACTTATAACTTAATTAATTATTATTCTAGACAACTTACCCGTTGTGGGCATCAGCGGTGTACTCAACCTTGCGGATGGAACCGTCCGGTTGAGCCAGGGAGTAGTATCCGTGAACGGCGTCACCGTCGCGGCTCTCGTGCTGGGACTTGTGGTCACCAGTGTGGGGGTCAGCCACGGAGTAAGCGAAGTCGTATTTGGGGTGAGCCTATTATTTTCAAAACATAATTAATATCAATATTTATGGGGCAAAATTGATAAATATTTTTTTCAAAAAGTCAGACATTGTTGCTCACTTTTCAGCAAGATTATTGAACATTGAGTGACTTACATATGAGTCGTGGCCGTCGTAGTGGGCTACGGGGGCAGCGTAGTGAGCTACTGGGGCGGCGTAGTGAGCTACTGGAGCGGCGTAGTGAGCTACTGGAGCAGCGTAGTGCGCTACGGGCGCAGCGTAGTGGAGGGGTTCATCGTGACGAATGATGCTTTGGGAGGACACAGCGTGGCCATGGCCCAAGTAGCCAGCGTTGGCAGCGGCCAACAGTGCGCTCAAAGCTACGATCTAAAAGAAAAGAAATGATTAATTGTAACTTTCTTTTCAGTTAAGTCATAATTATTATATGTGGAAGTACTGACAAATATTTGAATACTCACTTTGCTGAACATTTTGCTGTACAATTTTTGACGGTCAAAGATTGTTTGATATTAATGTAATTGTTGTATGGTTTTATATACGAAATACAAAGACTCGTGCGCTGAATGGGTGGGGCGGAGAAATGTGTGCACTTGACTTTGTACGCTTTGACAAGCGTCAAGGTCACAAATTCAATAAAAGCGTGCGTGTCAGAATTTATGATTATTTATCAACTTTTGCAACAACAATTGTTGTTTATGTAATAGTAGATTTTTTTTCAGTTGATTTTACGTCAGTGTTGGCCCGTTAACTGCTTGAAGGGGTAGGTAGAGACATCGGGTGTGTCTCATGACGTGTTAACGCATTTAGTATAATTTCATTTCATTCTTATTCATAGGATATAATTTTCGTGAGATATACCAACTGTTGATATTTTTTTTTTAAAATACCAACTGTGAATACATCATTGCTTTTTTTCTTTTAAAACATTTATTTATTTTATATTATAAATACAAATCGAAACCAATATTATTAATTCGAAAGTAACTCTGTCTGTCTGTCTTTTCTTCAGGCCCACACTACTGAACCGATTTCTGTGAAATTTTGTACAGACATAGTTTGGAACTCGAGAAAGGACATAGGATAGTTTTTATACCAAAAATCTGCAAGACGTCACTATTCCGCGAACGAAGTCGCGGGCAAAAGATAGTATTTTATATAATAAAACGTTTATTTAATTGAAAGTATTTTGTTCTTACGTTTAATATGTAAAGAACTGAGTTCGTTCATTGTTTTTAATTCTGTTTGTTATTATCAAAAGGTTTTTACGAAAATTATAGTAGATAGGTTAATGAATCAAACCCTTTGCGAAAATTGAGCTAGCTAACATTATAACTTTGCTAATACATTTACTAAAAATTATAAAAATTATAAAAATTTTAAAAAATAAGTTAAATTTTTAAAAATGTTTGACCTTAACATTAGCCCCAAAAAAAGGCGGGTAAAGCGCAAGGAACCGCAACCTCGGCCTGGAGCAGAAGAAGGAACTGTGTAGTTTTCAATCGGTAAGAGTCTGGCAATATCTCTCGCCATAGCCTGGGCGATAAAAGACATTTGATGATTTAACCTCCTTAAAAATCATAGTTTCTTCTTAAAGAAATCTGTCAAAGATCAGTATTTTTCTTCTAATAAAATTTCAATCAATTGATTTATTTACATTCACATCGTCATAATCAGGGTTAACCTATTTATAACAGGAAATCAAAGTACATAGATAGGAATTTTTTTTTTTGAGACATAATTAACTATTTACATCATATGACTCTTATGCTTAGGATAGGCGTTAGCAAATTCTTAAAAATTTTAATTTGTGAATTGCAGCCCGCCTCCGCTTCGTTCGGTGTCCAACTTACTTGCTTACGATAAACAACGAAAGGATCGTTAACACTCAATTTTCCCCTCTTCTTTTCTAAAATTTTCTTTTCCTAATATTAATAAAGTAAACAAAGAGGTGTCAGAGCAATCGGTTTAGCCATTCTGGAGATTTGCGCTTACAAACTCATGTATCGATTCATTTTTATGATATACATATGTGGATAAAATTTGAGTCGTCGCAGACAACAATACCAAATATGTTGGAATACAATTACCTATATAATCGTTACGTTTAGTAGTAGATATTATCGACATATGAAAAAAACTCTGTGATTTTTTTTTAATTTTTAACTCAAAAATCAGTCGCGTGCCATTTTGATTATTTTTCTTCCCCTAATTCTTCAATCAACTATATTCATGACAAACTCAATCGAAGTCGACAAGAACAGCATTGAACATTTTTTTTTAAATTATTTGCTGTGCATTTTTACGGACAATGTTGTGGCGTTTTTATGAAATGTATGCTTCAGGTTTTAAAATGTTGTAAGTGCCTAAAATCCAAAGAAAAAAATAAGATTATAATTTATGTCCGATTCGTCGTTTTCCATCGAAGCGTAACTAATTAGACGACAAGCTAATTTATTTCCGTTACAGCACAGCTATTTTGATATGACCTAGATTTTTAGTTTGTAAGCGTAAATAACATACAATATTACTTCAGGTACCACGACAACACAGAAAATCGGCGTGAAACAACGCGTGCAGTGAGCATGGCCACACGACATGTGATTAAGCTTAATTTAGATCAATTTTTTTTTTTAATATTCAGGCAGCAATGGCACATAGATCACATCTTAAGAAACAAACACATATACGTTACATCATATAAAATTTATTAATAAATAAAAGCTAAATCTATGTGATTGTGCGTTCATGTAGAATTTGTCTGCGGAAGCGATGGAACAACTCGTCCTGTGGTCAGAAACCTTCGTTCAACGCGAGGTGCGAGTGACTGACACACGTCAGCACTCGCACCACGAACGCCTTAAAGTTGGTGTTATTACGGGACTCCAGTAGGTGCATTCTCGGGGCGTACTTTATGTACTCTAAGATGTCTTACCTACCAACTACCTTGCTATTCTTTGGTTTTGCGGATGTTCATAGGCGGCGCTGATTTTGCTGCTGCCTACTCCTTAGCAGCTTTAAGCCATATGAATCTTATCCGCGTCTAAAATATGGTCATGGATTTAATTTACACGATTTCAATTCTAGAGTTCAGTGACAATGGTATACAACTTCTTTTGTTACGATTAAGCTAATCGAGGTAGATGAACCTAGGTTGAACATGGCGTTGGTTTCTACTTCGATTTTTAGATCTTTCAGTTCAGATTTAGTCTACGACTTGAACTGAAAGGTAATTGAAAAAGACTATTCACCATGCTATGTAATGTTGAGTTTGAATATTTCACTAGCCCAAAATCTTTGCACAAATTGGTGTTCTGAAGTCTTAATGCCGTTAAAGAGTAGGTAGGTGAGAAATTATATTAAACAATTTAAAAAAAAATAAAAACTTTGTATATTTTTCAAACATTCATCTTCATTTGGTTTTCTTTTAGAAATCGAAATAATAAATAGGTGTAACACAATCAGTCTTTGATATTCACTCAGTAATGATGGTAGGCATGTCCATGTCCGTGGTCGTGTATGATGGGAGCTGTGTTGTGCACAACAGCGTTAAAACTGAAAAGAAAGTAATAACAATTATTCACTTAACGAATATTTAAAGTCATATTTTTTTCTGATATTATCGGCAATCAACAATGCAGCGCTTTAAGCGGATCTGTTGAGGGCTGCGATGTAGGTTATAGTCCTCCAGTGAGTGATTCTAGTCATCCTTGATGCATGGAAAAATATCGTTTCTTTTTAACCGCTTTTGATATGATCTTTTTGTCAGACCAGCAGCTAGCTTATTTGTGTGGACCTCAAACTTCCCCCAATATCTATGTAACTGTATTGATTTGCATGTTTTTATTGATTTCAGAGATACTTTTAGTGTAGAAAATAGGTTATATGGGATAACTTACCCATGGTGGGCATCAGCGGTGTATTCAACCTTGCGCACGGAACCATCAGGCTGGACGAGGGTGTAATATCCGTGGACGGCGTCACCGTCGCGGCTCTCGTGCTGGGACTTGTGGTCACCGGTATGGGGGTCAGCCACGGAGTAAGAGTAGTCGTATTTGGGGTGGGCCTTATAATTTTTAAAGATATTTCAAATACTTATTCTGTTTAGAATGTTAACTTTATCAAGATGTAGTTTGTGTTTAAGTGGCTTACGTGTACGTCATGGCCGTCATAGTGGGCGTGATGTCCTATGGGAGCCGCATAATGATGGGGTTCATCGTGACGAATGACGCTTTGCGATGACACAGCGTGTCCATGGCCCAGGTAGCCAGCGTTGGCAGCGGCCAACAGCGCGCTCAAAGCTACGATCTGTAATATCATAACGTTCAGTTATAAACTTTCATTTTATATCGAATTAGAAAATCTGGTAAGTATTAAAATTTTCTTATTTTCTACTCACTTTGCAGAACATTTTACTAGTAGAATTTGTAACGGTTAAACGTTGTTTGATATTACCATAAGTGGGGTTCGGTTTTATATATGAAATGCAAAGCCTATTGCGTCTACTGGGTGGGGCGGAGAAATGTGTTCACTTGACTGTGTATACTTTGACACATAACGAGGCCGCAGTTACATTATCAACCATTTTAAATAAGTTGATGATTATATAATATTCGCATTTTTTAAATATGGTGTGTAGTTTGTTTATTCATGTTTGAACACTTTTCAATTGAAATTTATATTTTATAAATAAAGTGAAAATAATGAGAACTTTATTCAATTTAGCACGAGTGTGTTCTCATGTGTTGCCTCAGATGAAAAAACTTAGTAAATAATCGAATTGGTTCGATATTTTTCTTAACCATTTAATCGGGTGAATTCGAGACATGATATAAGAACAATATGTGTGCGTTCGCTTGGGGTTTGGTGAATTGATTAGGTATAGCTAGTGGTTAAATTTATTGCTAACTTCGTTTATAAGCAGGTTATAGAAATGAAGATGAAAAACTGATATTGTAACTGATTATAATAATTGGATTTCAGATGATAACAAGAATATATCTTACCAGAAACGATTATTTATTTTTCCATTGTTTTGTTTACCATTGTTTTATTTAGCACTAAGGTGTAGAATAAGTTACAATTAATTAATTAAGTTAAATTATATTTAGTACTTTGTTCATCACACACTTATTATGCATGCTGTATTCACATCTAGTAGATGTCAATCACATGAATGACAGTTTTTTGGATTTTAGTATAAGAGTTTATGATTGTACATCAGTTTTGTGGATTAAATAAAAAAAATCAAGTTCCTCTTTCACTCTTGCAAATATTAAAATGGTGAAAAAGCCGCGACAAAGTTCTTTGAAATTAATCTATGGTCTCTCAATTTAATGTTTTCTGTTGCTTTATGCTTTTTGAAAACATTTTTTCACGAATTGAGTTTTGATTCAACAATTATTTATTCATGATGAAAAGTAAATTAAGCCTTTAAGGATTGAGGTTAATTAAAAAAATAGTGTTAAGTGTCAATTCTTAAGCAATGTTTTTCATCGATGCGAATCCAATTAGTGGGCACGTTGTTTTAGTAATTAATTTCAATTGCAAATAACGCGTACATTCCTTTAGATCGCATTACATATTAAACTCGTAACCGTTAATCTATAAGTTAATAAGTTATATAAAAAATAAGGTATAATGAATTATTTCACATATTTATTTTAATAACTCTACAATTACATTTTTAAATAGTACTAAAAAAACAATAAAATAATGTGGTTAGGGCTCCAGAGACAGAAATCTCACAATGCGTGCCGTTTCAAGGAGGACTGCCTTCTGTATGAGGCCCTTGATCCATCCGCCTTACGTCAGCCTCTTAAGGTGGTTGTCGAGGCTTTTGGGGACTAACCCATTTGCCGACACAACTATCGGCACAATGATAGCCGAGTCCACACTCCACATGTCAACAACCTCGTGAGCCAAGTCAAGATATTTCAATCAGCTTTGACGAGGTTCTTGTCATGAGGAATGGCAACATCTATCATCGTACGACGCGCCAGTCGGTCTATCACCACTATATCAGGCCCCATCACAACATATTTCCGGTAGTTATTCGTAGGGATAACTTCGTCCATAATTGCACATACAAAACCTTCAGTTTCTCCGAAGATGTTACTGAAATTTCATAGATTATACTTTTCTATGAAATTTGTATTGTTACGTGCCTGACGTCACGTTCCTGACTATGCGGGCTTGGGTTACGGGATTGGATGAAATGAAACACTAATACCGGTTTTCAGACTTTCTATTGCGCTTAAGTTACAGCGTCCACGGAGTTAAGTTATCGGCGTTCCTCTCCAGCAGAGTCCGGCCGACTGACACAACTTTGCCGTTCACGCTAACTTCACTTAACTGACTGCACTTCACTATTTCACTGCACTTCACTATTTCACTCACTTTTCTTCTTTTTCACTTCTTCCTTTTCTTCCGAATCGCTTTAGACTTAGAACTCAACTGCCAGCGGTGAGCCGCAGTTCCGCTTATATACCCCCGGTCAGGTTCTAGAACATTCAATTTCGTTATTCTTTTTTTGATCGTCATGCCTCCAGAACCTTCCAATAATTTCGTTATTCATTTTTATTTATTCTCCTTCTCGCTCCTTAATTTTTCATTACTTTCACTCAAATATTCCAGAAAGTTCGACAAAACTTCCATCAACTAAAAAACTTCATGTTTACGGCGGGACTCGAACTCGGGGTCTCTGTGGTGTAATCCACACGCCTTACCGATTACACCAACTCGTGTTGACAATTCACGACGAAATTTACAATCTCTAGGCAACGTTTGACAACCATCCATTGACGTCATGATGTCAAAGAGTTTTCTGTCACACTGCCCCCCTCTTAGATTCGCTCGTCCCGAGCATCGTTGCTGCCGTAATACCTCGCCAACCTGTCTATATGGACAACTTTCAAAGGGCTCCTTGAAGACTTCCGAATTCTGTAAGTAATGTCATTGATCTTCGTGACTATCTCGTAAGGACCTTCCCAACTCGGTTGCAGCTTTGGAGATTTTCCCTTCCTTCTGACTGGATTATGAAGCCAGACCAATGACCCCTCTTCAAACCCAACAGAATTGGCTCGTCGATCATAGCGCGTCTTTGCGCGATCACTAGCTTGAAGACCGGCCTCCCTGATCTGCTCATAAATGTCCAACATTTTTGCCCTTAACTCGCTTATGTAATCGCTAAACTCGGTGCGAGAGTCACCAGGTGGACAGCCCGATACAAGATCTGCCGGTAATCTCAATTCCCTTCCAAAATTTGCAAATGCAGGCGTCTTTGCGGTACTTTCATGTACAGCAGTCCGATAGGCAAGCAAGAAGAGAGGTATGTAAGTGTCCCAATCTCTCTGATGGCTGTCAACCACCTTTGCTAAGTGTCGCTCCAATGTTTGGTTGAAGCGTTCGACCATTCCATCTGACTGTGGATGATAAGGGGTCGTTCGAGTCTTATGGATTCCCAAAAGTTTACAAGTTTCCTGGAAAACTTGGGATTCAAAGTTCCGTCCTTGATCACTGTGCATCTCCAAGGGCACTCCGAATCGGGTGAATACCTCGTTTACCAACTTCGTGGCTACAGTTACTGCCTCTTGATTCGGTATGGCAAAGACCTCCGGCCATTTTGTAAAATAATCCATAACCACTAAAACGTAGCGATTGCCCGAATCAGTGATTGGAAATGGTCCAGCGATGTCTAAGGCTATTCTCTCCCAAGGCATACCAACATTGTAGATTTTCATCGCCCCTCTGCTTCTTGTTTGTGGACCCTTGACAGCTGCACAACTAGTGCATTTCCGGCACCAATCTTCGACGTCATATTTGCAATGCAACCAATAAAACCTCTCCTTGATCTTCACCAAAGTCCTCCTAATTCCCAAATGTCCTCCAGAAGATCCATCATGGAACGCTTTTAATACATCCCTTATTTTTGAACGAGGCACCACCAATTGCAAATGCTCGTCCTTGCCGTTTGTTGATTCCCATTTCCTGCACAGAAGTCCGTTATGCAGCGTAAGGCTTTTCCACTGTGCCCATAAACCTTTCGTTACCGCGCTATATTGGGCGACGTCACTCCAACTTGGCTTGTTACCACTTCGTAGCCACTCCAGTATTGGTTTGATATCTGCATCTCTTTCCTGTTCTAATTTCATCGCATCATCTCCCCATGCCTCGTCAACAGTATCAGTCCTTATCACCTTAAGAAAAGCAGTTTCCTTCTTGGCACAATGCTTGCAATCTTCCACGCATGGGCGTCTCGATAATGCATCTGCGTTGCCATGAATTCTTCCGCCGCGATGTTCGATTTCAAAGTCAAATTCCTGAAGTTGTTCCAACCATCTGGCTACTTGGCCTTCGGGATCCTTAAACTGAAGCAGCCATTTCAAAGCAGCGTGATCAGTTCTGATCAAAAATTTCCGTCCCAGTAAATACTTCTTGAAATGGTGCAGAGTTTTGACTACGGCCAGCAATTCCCTCCTGGTCACGCAATAATTCTTCTCCGGCTTGGATAGTGACTTGCTGAAGTAAGCAATAACCTTCTCCTGCTCACCATCGCGTTGTGAAAGGACACCTCCTATTCCAATATTGCTGGCATCCGTATCAACTACGAATATTCCTTTCGCGCTGGGGTATCCGAGAATTGGTGTGTTACAAAGCCGTTCTTTTAGTTCTCGAAAGGCTTGCTCACAATCCTCGTCCCAGATAAAGGCACGTTTCTCCTCTGTCAATCGATGCAAAGGCTTGGCAATGTCCGAGAATCCTTTCACAAACCGCCGATAATACGAGCACAATCCAAGAAATGCCCGAACTTGCGTTTTGTCTTTAGGTGTTGGCCATTCCTTAACAGCGGCAGTCTTGGCTGGATCAGTCTCAATTCCTCTCTCAGAAATAACATGTCCTAGATAATTCACTTCGCGCTTGAAGAAAGAGCATTTCTTTGGACTCAACTTTAAATTTGCTCCACGCAGCTTATCGAGTACCTTTTCCAATTTCCTTAGATGATCGTCAAAATCCCGTCCAACAATGATGATGTCATCGAGGTAAACTAGGCAGGTTTCGCCCAGCAGTCCCGCCAGCACCTGTTCCATCAAACGCTCAAAGGTTGCCGGTGCATTGCATAATCCAAATGGCATCACCTTAAATTGCCAGAGTCCCTTCCCAGTTGAGAATGCGGTCTTTTCCTTGTCCTTGGGATCCAAATCCACCTGCCAATAGCCGCTTTTCAGATCGAGCGTTGAAAACCATTTCATGCCACTCAGTGTGTCAAGTGTGTCATCGATTCTTGGTAACGGGTAGCTATCCTTCTTGGTTACATCATTCAATCGTCGATAGTCTACGCAAAACCTCGTTGAACCATCTTTCTTCTTGACAAGCACGACAGGTGAACACCAAGGGCTAGAAGAGGGCTCTATCACGTCATTTTTCCTCATATCGTCAATCATTTCTTCAACCTCTTTCTCACGAGCGAATGGTATGCGTCTGGGCCTTTGACGAATTGGCATTGTATCACCTGTGTTTATTTTATGCTTCACCAAACCAGTTCGGCCAATATCACCATCGCTTCTTGAAAACACATCAGAGAATCGAAGAAGTAAATTTCTAGCTTTCATAGTCTCCACTTTTGTCAGACTTTTGTTTTCGTCTAAGATTTTCGTTACAAAGTCTATTCCCGTACTGTCCTTCTTCACAAGATTCTCCGAGCATTTTCTTATCCAGGCCACTTCTTCCAATACGCCCACAGGCTCTCCTTCTTCAATCGTAATTTTTGAATCACTGAAGTTGAATACCGGAATGCGGTTGACATCAGATGACCCCACGACAGTTCTTGCCGGTAGCCATGAGCTTACGTGTTCCGATTTATCAATCACAGCGCACCTTCGAGGTAAACTTCCTTCCTTCCTCCTAGGTAATGCGATTGGTACGAGAGTCTGTGATTTTGGTGCAAGAACAGTTCTTCTTAAACAGCAAACTTTTCCCAGGGTTCCACCCTTCATCGGAATTTCCTCAGTTCCACATAATAAAACTCCAGATTTTAGGTCGATGTTACACTGGTGCCCTTGCAGGAAGTCAAGTCCCAGGATGCAGTCATCCAGAATTTTGGCCACAATAACCTCATGTCGATAAACACGTTCCCCAATTTTGATTGTTACATGCAGTTTTCCACTTATCGGTATGCACTGGCCGGTAGCTGATTTCATTCGTAGGCCAACAATTGGTTTAAGGTGTTTCCTGATGTTTTGCTCGAGCAGCCGAACATTTATCACCGTCCTTGAAGCTCCAGTATCTAATGTTAGCTGACTGTTTTTCCCATTTACTTGACCGTCTATCACTAGAGTATTTCCATCGTTGGTTTGCTTGATGTAGATTGTTGGGGTTGTTCCACTACCAGCCAGCGCCCACCCCGCAGCCCTGGCTGGATTTAAGTTTCCCTGCTGGTCAGAAGTTGAGACCGCCGCGTCCTGGCGGTTCATCTTCTTCGGGCAGTCGCTCCGTATGTGCCCACGCTCTCCACATCCATAGCACATGAAGTTCCGACGGCGTGGAGGTACCTGCTCCGTTGTCGTCATTTCCCGCAGACGTAAGGTACGGGAGTTGCCACGCACGGCTTCCACTTCCAATGCATGGGCCAGAGCTTCTTTCATGTTCTTGTGATGGCCCAGATGAACAGCAGCTCGTACTTCTGAATCCCGAATACCGTCAATGAACGCTTGGAGAAGCGTGCCTTCAATCATTGACGGAGTCGACCGGAAAGCTCGACGCACAAGTTTCTCGATTTCCACGGACCATTGCTGTAGGCTCTCATCAGCACGCTGAGTACGCTCTTTTAATTGCGCTCTGTACACGTGCTCGAGGTGGCTGTCTCCAAAACGTGCCTCAAGTGCGTCGAGGAGGGCACTAAAGCT